GGAAAGCGGTGACGACGGCCCGCCGTGGGGTGATTTTTTTTTTTTTTTTCTTCTTCCTTTCTTGATGACGGGTGAACCGCCATGAGCGGCAATGCAAGGGGGGTTAGGGGGAAAGGGGTGTATGGTTGCCGAGGGTTGGGCGAGTAAGGGACCTAAAGGTGTTGGTTGTAAATAATTGGAAATGCGGTGACGACGGCTCATCGTGGGGTCTGTTTTTTTTTTTTTTTATTATCTTTCTTTCATAAAGACGGTTGAACCGCCATGCGCGGCAAATTCGGCAATGCAAGGGGGGTTAGGGCCCTTTGGGGGAAAGGGGTCTATGGGTGTGGCAACGACGGCCCATCGTGGGGTGTGTTTTTTTTGTTTTTTTTCTTCTTTCTTTCTTAATGACGGGTGAACCGCCATGAGCGACAATGCGAGGGGGGTTAGGGAGGGGTTTATAGGTGCCGAGGGTTGGGCGAGTAAGGGACCTAAGGGCGTTGGTTCTAAAAAAAATGGAAATGCGGTGACGACGGTCCGTCGTGGTGTCTTTTTTTTTCTTTTTTTCTATTTTATCTTTCTTTCTTAAAGACGCCATGAGCGGCATGAGTGGCATGGTGAGTAAGGGACCTAAGGGTGTTGGTTGTAAAAAAATGGAAAGCGGTGACGACGGCCCGCCTGGGGTTTTTTTTTTTTTTTTTTTTTTCCTTTCTTTCTTAATAACGGGTGAACCGCCATGAGCGGCAATGCAAGGGGGGTTAGGGGGAAAGGGGTCTACGGGCGTCGGGGGTCGGGTGAGGAAGAGTTCATTTTTTCTTTTTTTTTATTTCTAAGGGTGTTGGTTGAACCGGTAAGAGCGGCAATGCGTTGAGGGCTTGGGGGGAAAGGAGTCTTTATATTTGTCCCTTCTCTTGTTTGTCATTGTGGTTGTTGTGAAACTTGTGTACCTTGTGGTGACGGTCCATCTTTTTCAGGTTGATTCATCGATTATTCAGTGCAGTAATTCGTTGTCGGCGCCGGAATTTGTTTCATTTTGCTTTTAGTTACATTTTTTTCAGGCTGCGCAACATGTCCGACCCATGAGGCAACACCGGGAAGGGCCCCGAGGAGTCCTCGGCAACGGGGAAGAGGTCAGACTGTAGTAAAAAAGGTCACAACACGAAGACCTTTGACTCCCCTTTCAGGGTGGATCCAAAGGCGGATGCGAAACGGGATGATCCTGTTTGGCATTTCGTTGCTCGTGGTCGTTATTCAGATGGATCTACTGCGCTCGGGAGGAAGAAGAGTCGCCGCTATATGTGCAAATTATGCGGGCGTTCTATATGTGGGGGTGCTCGCGATGCAAAGGAACACTTTTTTCGTGGCGAGGGCTACAGATGCCTCGTGGCGACTCCGGCGGTGTGGCACGCAATTTGGTCAAAGGATATATCGAAGTGTCCTGCACAATTGGTTTCTGCCGTGTAGGCCTTGCAATCTTTCCCTCCAGGTCATCCCTCTTTTCAATAGCCACCGATTCGTTTTCCCGAGGACGTTGTTCCACTGCCCCCGTCAATTGCCGCCTCCTCGTAGGCGGCACCATCTCCACGTGCTCCACGTGCGACTCTCCCCCCTCGTCCGGCGGCAGTGTCACATGCACCACTTTGTCCGACGATTCCCGCACCCGTTGCTAGCGTGGTTTCCGATGGGTGCGTACGTGACGCACGTATCACTCCATCGGTGGCAGCGCAGCCTGATGCGGAGGGTCCCGTGCCAGGTTCGGGTGTCAGGGGACCTGTGTTGTTTGACGAGCCAGGGACTCGTGCTTTCATTGAGAGTCGTGGGTGGGGGAAGGACGCAGGTACATCAGCCGGCCTCGCCCCGTTGTTCACTGAGAACAAGGACAGGGTTGCAAGAGTTTCACGCGCAGCCGCAGGTCTGCCCGTGGCAAGACCACCCGCAACGGGGCATCAATCCGCTGCTTATCCGTGGTTGCCTCCCCCTCCTTCGCAAACACAAGGACCTGCACCTGACTTAACTTCGGTCCCTGTTGGAGAGGCCGTTGCAACGGTCCCTGAGGGGGAGAGCACAGTCCCACTCGACGGGGCCGTTCAGGTTTCGGATTCGTCACCCACGCCTGCACCCGTGAACGGCCCGATCTCATAGCATGGTGTTTTCGATACATTGGATCCTTTACAAAATTTGCACAATATTGCAACTCCGAGTCCAGGCCCCACCACATCACCTGTAGTTGGTGGCGGGGTGTGGGATTCGCTAGGTTGCGGCGCCGGTGCACGAGTGAGGGGCGGTTTCAGGCAGCAGGCGGTGACCTCGTATTACAACGACCCACTGGAGTACGCATGGCACCTGCAGATCATGCGATTCATTGTYGAGAGCGGCATGCCGTTCAACTGCGTGAAGCTTGAGAGTTTCAAACACATGTTTATCATCCCGCCTGGGGTTCCCGGAGTTCCCACCCCAAAACCCCCAACGTATCACATGATCCGTACCACACTTTTGGATGAGCTTGATGTAGAAGTCCAAAAGTGTGTGAAACCTGTCCTCGCGACTTCGGCTACCTACGATTACACGATCATGACAGATGGTTGGACCAACATTCGGGGCAAAACGTTCTGCAACTATCTCGTCGGGACTACACGGGGCGCCACATACGTCGCGACAGATGTTATGCGAGGAAAGAAGGATGCCACTGCCCTTGCGTAGGCTTGGCTGCGAAGGTTAAAGTCCCTTGACATCAAGCTCGCAGACATCATCGCTTTCGTCAAAGACTCGGCCAATTCGATTTTTTTGTGTGATGGAGGTGTTCCAGAAGTGGCAGAAGGATGCGAGTGTGAAGCATATCTTCTGGATTCCTTGTGTGGCGCACGTCATGGACCTCATCCTTGAGGACATCGGCGACTTTGAATGGGTGGCAACTCGCATTGCTCAGGCGCGGGTGGTCACAAAGTTTTTCAAGCGCCATAGTCATGCTCGCGAGGTTTTGCAAACTTTCACGACGATGGCACTATTGCTTCCCACCGAGACTCGCTTCGGCCCGCACGTCATTATGATGCGGCGACTTCTTCAGCTGCAAGTGCATCTTATGCAGGTGGTCACTGATGATCGATGGAAGAACACTGTTTGGTCAACGAAGAAGATTCGAGACGACGCCGCGGAGGTCACAGCATGTGTCGGTTGTCCACGGTTGTGGCAGGATATGAAAGCGGTGTGCAAGTTGTTGGATCCCATCATGGACATGCTGCAGATGGTGGACAACGACACGAGGCAGATTGGGAAGATTTTGCGTCGGTACAACGAGATGATCATGCATTGTTTGTCTGCATGTGCTGCTTTTGACAAGCAGGACGCAGTGCTTGAAGTCTTTGACAGATGCTGCACCATGTTCAAGTCGCCGGCTCATGTTGCTGCCATGATGTTGGATCCCGAGTTTCGAGAGCGCACAATGTGAGACGACGATGAGATGCAGCAGGGTTTGAAAGTTGCTCTAGTTCAATTCGGGTACCCGGAGGGCTCGGCCTAACACAACGAGGTCATGACTACCGTTGACAAGTTTCATGCTAGGGAGCCGCCATTCGACGACGTGGCCATGGATCGTGCGGCGCGGAGCTATCCCCATCCAGCCAATTTTTGGGAGTCGAAGGAGAAGAGGTTCCTGCACATGACCTTCTTCGTCGGCAGGATACTACGTGTATGGGCGACTACATCGCGTTGTGAGAAAGCTTGGTCCCATTGGAGCTTCATCCATTCCAAATCCTGTAGCAGGTTGGAGGTGACACGGGCCGAGAAGCTCGTGCAATGCCACTGGAACCTTCGGCTTCTTGTCAGGCACGCTATGTCGGATGATGCTCCCAATGACAAGGCACATCCGTATGGGAGCTGGGTGCACTATTGGCAGCAGGTGGAGGACGAGGTGCCCACCGACAAGCAACTTGTCTCAGGCCGAGGAACCCGTGCGATGGTGACGCAAGAGGAGTTGATGCAGGTGAGAGAGAGGATGTGCGTTGTATCCTGCATGGGAGCCACTCGTCGATTGCGGGAATCTGAGAGGAGGCGGCGTTGTGGCGGCGGTCGCGGAGGTAGTCGTTGGGGAGGTCGTGGGTGAGGCAGGCGTGGAGGTCCTGGCGGGAGGAGGACTATCGCGAGTCGTCGAATGACGGCGAACGAGCTTGTACGCAAGCCTCGACAGCGATGGGACGAGGGAGACTTCTTGTACGAAAGCTCGTCCACTGACGATGAGGATTTCTTCGAGACTGGCACGCCTGCACAAGACGACAACAGCGATCTCGACGACTGCCACCCGGACGTAGACGACGACGATGGCGCCGGAGGCGATGATCGTGGTGATGGAGGAGATCGGTCATGACCCTTCTCAACACGCGGAGATGTTGACAGAGGGCCTGACGAGGCAGTGGGACATTATCACGATGAGGGTGACGCTGATGCACGGAGCGGTGCAGGGGGATCAATACCTGGAGGCTGGAGATGGTGACACCATGTGCGGCGACGGGGCAGGAGGCGAGCACCACGCAGCCTTGGATGACATAGGAGATGGAGCGGATGATGACGGTCCAGGACTTATTCATGGCGGTGCCCTGAAGCGCTTGAAACGTGGACCAAGGGAAGGAGACACTATCGCTTCACGTGTGCGCGGACGTCACGGTGGGGTTTCAGGCGTTCCATGAGCATGAGTCCCTATAATTGAGCAGATTCCAGTTTCTAAGGACTCTTTCAGCGATGACGTTGACGAGGAGCGGATCGAGCAGGATGATGGGAGCGGTCATGCACGAAATGATACTCAGAATATGCACGCGACAACTTCGACAGGGTCCTCCGCATCAATCCCGGAATCGCAACAAGGTCGCGGACCATTGATGCGTCATCCCGAGATCAAGGGAGATACCGGTGATCTCCCGATAAAGCAGGACGAGGGTTCTGCTGCTGCACTGCATCCACTCACGTCTGCTGGCGGACCGACAGTCTCAGCTACAGTGACTTCAAACGTGCGACGACCACCAGCAGCGGCGGAGCAGGAAAGTATGCTCCCACCTCATAGCTGTCATGGAGTTCAGCTTGACGTACGCAGGGAGGTGGTTGCTATGCAACAATCAGACACACATGGACCCGATGCAGACGACACCGTATCGTGGCCACCGCCTGCATTGATGGAGGGGACTGTTGTTGAGTGTACAGGCGCCGATCTCCCGGAAGGGGAAGTCTCACACACTCCCGCACCTGAGCAGAGCGCCGCAGGCCATGTCGGCCTCGCATGCCCCACCGACAGTCGTCCGGGTGCCGGCGAGTTATCGGCCATGGACTCGACGCTTGTCTCTCTCCCGGACTTGTCGACTTTGATATCTCCTGGTCGACCCCACGTGTCACCGCCCAACCCACATCAGCCTGTCGCCATAGAGCGAGGGCCAGATGCGTTTGATGAGTTTGGAGGCGATACGATTACGGTGTGCCCAACGGTGTCTGCCACGCCCACAGTTTTTCGTGTTTGCAGACCTCACGAGGTAGACCTTGCTAAAGCCAAGACGACGATGCGACACCTCCGCGATGGTCACCGCAACATTGCACAACGTAGTTTGTCTGATTCGTTCGATGGTGCGGAGGATGGTGGCTTTGCTGCACCCCATTAGCGTGGCTGCCAGCGCAATTGCAGGCGTCCCCGCCACGGACACCACCGACGCGACACAACAACCTGTGGTGGGGTCATCAACGACAACACGGCGCGACAGAGCTACTGTTTTGCCGACAGTGGCATTCTATACCAGCGGGACCACTAGTGGGGGGGTTGGACGAGCAGGGAGTCCGGATTATTGGCAAGCCATCAACACCGTTTATAGGGACACGATCCATTGGGACTGTCGATGGTGCTCGCCACACCATAATGACAGAGTACGAGGCTCGACACGGGAGTGCTTTGCCGACGAAGACATCTAATGTGCAGGCTACGAGGGACGCGAAGTCGAGTCTTTGTCGGGCGAGGAAGAAGGCCTCGACAAGGAAGGCATCACGTTCGTCGCCACATATGCGTTCCCATCTTAGGCAATCCGGCCTTGTGCATCTCAAGGACGGAGAGATTGCACCCAACGGCGATGCATTGGATGTGGGAGGGAGGGCTGCAACGACCGCGGACGGCGTCGGCAGGGAGGGTGCAGGGGATGCAGTGGTAGGTGAGAAGAGACGCGACAGTGTGCTCATTGTTCACGACGACGGCACGGATGTAGCCCCTGGAGAGACCACATGCACTGATGATGCGGGACACTCCGATTACGTGCCTAAACTACAGGCGGCGGACGCAGATGATGGAGGAGGGCGAAGAGTGAGATGGAGGACACGACCCGGGCCAGATGGGCAGCGGCCACAGGGCACACCATCAGCGATGATTCCTGGCCCCATTGATCGGCGAGCTCAGGCGCAGCGGCTACTGCGCAAAATGGAGGCCACATTTCAAGCGACACATGGTTCATCAATCGGCCGCGAAGAGACGGAGACTCGGAGAGAGAGAGAGAGAGAGAGAGAGAGAGAGAGAGAGAGAGAGAGAGAGAGAGAGAGAGAGAGAGAGAGAG